GCCGGCACACACCCCAGCGCCCAGCCCCAGACCCCGGGAACCCCCAGCACGCCGGCAGCCAGCCGCACAAAAGTTGATTTCTTTTCAACTTTCATCATCTGCAATACAAATGTTTTCCTCTTATTTGACTGATAGGTGTCAGGTTGTGAAACAAGGAAGCTCTGTGTCTGGGTCTGTGCCCTGTTCTGTAGGAGTTCCACAGGGTAGCATACTGGGCCCATTGCTTTTCCTATTATACCTATTATACATAAACGACCTTCCAAAAATATTGAAGTATTCAAATATTTTAATGTACGCTTATGATACTGTTCTTTTTTTGTCTGATTTCAATATTGAATCTATTAATAGTCAGTTACAAGCAGATCTTCAGACATTTCATGGTTGGCTTCAAGATAATCTTTTGTCAATTAATGTTAAAAAAACTGTGTGCATGTATTTTTCCTCACCTAGGAGACATTTCAATATAACAAATCAACTCACTTTTTTAAACAAACCCCTTGATATTGTCACTACTAGGCGACCGACTTGAGTTAGCAAAATCCTGCTGCCCTCTGTCGCATGATGCGCAGCATTGTATGACTGTCGCACAACTTTTCTGATTTTTTATTATTTTTTGTGTGTGAAGTGTTTCCTTTATTGACACATTCAACAAGTTTACACAACCATTTTGTACATTTAAATTTTGAACATCTAGCGCACCCAAACTGGGGTCTTTTGGTACAAACAGTGTGTGTGTGGAGTGGGACTGGTGCTTGGGAGACTGTTATAGAAACGCAGCGCCTCTTGGGGCTGGTTTCCTAAACAGTACAAACAAAATGCCTCTTGGGCGGCAGCCGAAAACTGGTGAACATGTCTCCCTGGTCCTGAAGTCCCCGCAGTGACAGTCTCACAGTTAGGAGGACTGCGTCTTCTTCCTCTGAGGCATCGCGCCTTTCTGAAGACCCGGAGGGGGGCGCTTGCTCCAAGCCGGCTGGCGGGGGGGGGGTTGGCCGTGGTTATGAGGCTGCGGTGGTTGGGTGCCTAGGCTCCCAGGCAGCACCGTTCTCTTCGCCGGAGGTGGCTGTGCGGCCGGCTTCTGTGTGCTAGTCTTGGGTCTCGAGTCCCGTCTGGGGATRATGCAGCGCAGAGCTTCTGCCTGCTTCTTCCTCAGCTCAAACTTCGCCTGAATAACGTCGAGAGACTGGCCGAATAACCCGCCGCCATAACTGGTTCATCCAGGTATGTGGCCCGGTCTCTGTCGGGGACATCAGAGAGTGCCAACCACAAATGTCTCTGCGCCACCACGATTGAAGCCATCCCTCTGCCCAGGGAGAGCGCTACGTCGCGGGACGCACGGAGGATGTAGTCCGCGGTGAGTCTGATTTCATTTAAGAGAGGCAGCAGAGGACTCTCGGCTGGTACCTGGGCTCCGAGCTCCGCCAGAGCCATAGACTGGTAAGTCTGGAGCATGCTGATGGAGCTCAGGCCGCGAGCGGCGGTGGCCTGAGCTTTGTAGATTTTTTCAAGCTGTGCAGCAGAAAATCTACAGGGCTTGGAAGGGAGTGTGGTGGGCCCGCTCACACCATGGTTGTGAGACGGGGCCAAATACAGTACGCTGCCAGGGACGGCTCCATGGGAGTTATGTTCACCAGTCCAGCTTTTTCAGCTCCTTCCAAATCCAAATACGGTCCATAACCGGGCACTGTGACGCGGGTGGACAGAGGTTTGGTCCAGCAGGACGTCAGCTCCGAGAC